TTTTCCAGAAGCTTCATTGGATTATTTGCTAACTCCTCCTCTTCTTGAGCAGCTCTCTTGGCTTCAAGCTCCTCCGCAGTTTTAAGAGCCTCAAAATTACGTTTTGCACCGCTTTCTATAACATAGTCATTTGACTCTAGATCCGTCTAGAAAATCAGGTCCAAAATAATAAACGTACCCTCCATATAATTTCAGCGCAGCATCCCGGACAGCGGATGTAGAACCTGTAATGACGAAGACCTAGGTAGTCAACACCTTCAGCTGTTTCCATCCGAGAGTTGAACTTCTTCGCCTTATAAATATAGCCATTACAAGTCAAACATCGCATATTAAACGGAGCCATGGTCCTTATATTAAATTGACGACTCTTGCTCCCTCGTTTGAGACGAGGAATTTTTGACGGATCATAATCAGGAGGAAAATATTTCTACCACAATAAGAATATTTAGCACAACTTACATTCAAAACTTTCCGCTCAGTCATTTCTCGCTTTCAAATAAGGCGGCAAAGCAAACGCTAACTGTAACAGATCGCCAAGCCAGGGAAAACAAAATTAAATCCAAACAGAGGATTAATTCTCACCTAGCATGCTAAGTTTGCGCTATCATAAATAAAAAACATTGACAAATTAATGATTAAATAGTATTTTTGAGGAACAAGTGAAGAATTAAAATTCTGGGCAATTTGGCTCCTCGTTTCATCGTTTGAAACTTATCCACTGCCATGTTAGAACCTATCAACTTGCCGTCTGTAGCGTCTTAAGTATTTCCAGTTGGTACAAGAAGTCGGTAGGTGCAGCTGGATAAATGTATTCCGAAGTCAGCAGAACAAATGTGCTTGGGGCATGGCCATAATGCAAGCCTACACTTACAGAGGTCAGACAAATCCTAAAGTAACATTCAAACGTCATATGGTCACATAAATAAAGTATTGCACCGTCATCCTTTATTAGGTACCGTATACAGAAAGTTCGGAGATAGGGCCGCTATCCACTCAGCGACGCATAGAGGACAGCAGCTTTAGGAGACTTGTCTGGCTAGGAGCTGGAGACTCCCAGCTAACACCTCATCGCCCTCTCTGGGTTGCTGAAATCACTGGAACGAATGTCTGATTTCAAAATAGTTCCTTCTAAAGGATGCTATCTTGGCTAGATTCTCGAGGCATTCTTTTATGTCCGAGGAAAGCATAGTACTGCGTCTATTGCTTTGCAGCAATGCTCATACAGTAAGACGCGAAGTCATAGGGACGTGGGAACCCATCTGCGAAGTATCGTGGGATCGTCGTCTTATAGATGCTCTCACTACTTTCTATTCTGCATACGAAGCCCAATACACCCCCCCAATCAAGTATCTTGTGGAGTTAGATGTTAAGAAGAAGAATCTGAGTAGGCTAGGAAGCCCTTCATGTTGGCGGTAGCCATACATTCCTTAGTGTAGCTAAGGCACTTGTTCAACCACTTTGTTTCGAAATTTTTTTGGTGTTTATTGTTATTTTTACATATTTTCGCTACCTTTTGCGCAGTCGTGGAGCAATTAACTAACAATTACATGCGCCATATCATTACCACAACCAT